TCCCTCTGGACCAGGTAACTCTTGAACTAACTATCTAGTTGCACTCAGCTGAGGGTATATAATAAGATTGTTGATTGATGGATAGGATAAATTCTTAAAGATGAGGAAAATGATCATGATGCTTGATTTTGTTGCATGCATGCATGCATGAAGTTCCTCCAAAGATGGGTTGCTTCTATTGTTCGAGGTGCACCAAGCAGCCTTTCTACTATCCACCTGAGGAGCAATTGGTGTTTGGTAAGCATAATTGTGATAAAGGTCCCAAATATGACGACGACTGGACTTCTTCCACGGACGACGATTGAACCTGTTGTGCCTCGTTAGGTTCCTCCTCGTCTTCCAAGTAAAGAGAGTTGGGTTGTTGATTATATATTTCTTTATATGTACCTCGTTTGTCCATGCGTTTATAACTTAAGCTTGAGTATATCAGATTTCACGTAATTTGATAGTGAGATGTAATTCTTTATTTGACCGCATCAAAATCATCAATCATTATTTTTTATTAAATTGACTTTGGCTCCAAACTTGAAAAATCGAGATCTGTAGTTTAGCCATTAAAGGTTATAAGGCATCGTATCACAACCAAACTCGGTTTAATTGATGCTTTTGATAAGAAAACTAGGACTTGTCATCTCAGTGTGGTTGTTGTGCTCTCTATTGCTCTCTCGAAAGATTTGGATGACCAAAGGCTAAAACCACATGATATGATCTCATTTGGGTCCATTTTCATTTTTCAATTTATTGACAAAGGATCCCATTCATCTCATTTGAACAACCTTGAATTTTTCCCATGTGTTTTGTGTGTTTCCAGTGAACTACTTTGTACGTGTTCAACTTTTTATTGGCTTGGTCAGAATTCAAGTTCAGTGGCTTGTTTTGAAGACGAAGGGTTTATCTCTCCACTGATATGCTTTGAAGCGCTAGAGGAAGTCCAAAATAGTGATTTGCAGGTCGATCAAGTTGCTAGCTCAACACGGGAAAAACTGCCATCGTGAGTTTTTTGGATCATACGAATACAAAGTTGAGCTTTGATTCATCTAGCTAGCTTGCTTGAAGAATTGAATAGGATTGCTTGGTGGATTCTGAGCCATCATGAGCTTGTATCGATCAGTTCATCAACCTGATCATGGCCAAGTATCGATCTTTAGTTCTCGAGCCTCTTTCCCTTGTGAGAAGTTAAACGAAACTTGCCACCCTAAAACACCCAAACGAACCCTGTTCGTGAGGAAGCTTGAGTTGAAATCAAATCAATTCGAAGCTGTACTACTTTGATCATACAAGACCTTACCTAGGGCTCATCAAGTGGTATCACGAGCTCGGTTCAAACACAGGGCAAGAAAAATAACGACTGTAGAAAACGTCGCCAGAATTACACAATGGACAAGATCGAAAGGCCCTATTTTTAGTGACCCTGCGCTGCTAACTCTAGAACAAAGGAAGAAGAAGAAGCAGACAACCATGGGAGACAAGCAATCTGAACAACCTGTTACGATGTAAGATTCACAACGGTATTTTCAGACTCAGTTCGAGCAGGTTAATCGGAAACTGGTCGAGCTTCGTTTGCAAATCCCTAACCCTATTCCGCCGGAGAATATGGCAGAGCACGAAGGAAATCGCCAAGCTGGAGAACTAATTTGCAACAACGCCAATCAAGAATTATTGGCACGAATTCAGGACATTGAACAAAGGATGGTGGTTGCGGATCCCAATCCTGGACGGCCAATTTGCAATCGTCTTGATTACAGGGAACGGAGGCCAGAGGCAGAGCCTATCATTCCTCCGGGCATCCAATTAACCATTCCTCCCTTCGCTGGATCTCTCAATGCTTCACATTACCTGGATTGGGAGCAAAAGGTAATGTTATTCTTTCAATCGGGGGAACTATTCTGAGCAGCAGAAGGTGCTCTTGGCCACCTATGAGTTTACAGACTATGCTATTCAATGGTCGGAGCAAGTCCAATTGCGACGGCGACGTAACCTCCAGCCAGAAATTGAAACTTGGAATGACCTCCGTGGTCCTCTAAGGGACCATTTTTTTCTGGATACTATCAGAGAGAACTGTACGAGTCCCTACAGCAGATTCGATAAGGTACATGAACGGTGGAAGAGTATTTCAGGGATTTGGAGTTGCTCACAATGTGTGCCGACATAAGAGAGGACCAGGAAGCGACGATAGCTCGTTTTCTTCACGGTTTCAATTGAGAAATTCGACAGGAGGTGGATCTTAGATCGTTTGTCGGTCTGATGAAGCTTTTCACCTGGCAATGAAGCTTGAAAAACAACAGAAAACCACAGGCATAAGGTTGGCTTCGACTAACAAGTCCATTGTAGAGCTGGCTTCCGATTCCAATCCTCCATAAGTGTGAACTGAACCCAGCAAAGCACCAGCCAAGAACATCGCCCCATATGCTATGGAAAGAACTGGAGGAATCCAGTGCTTTAACTGTCATGGAAGGGGACACAAGGTAAATCAGTGCCCGAATTTGAAGACACTAGTAATCCGGGATGGTGAGTGCCTCACTGACGAAGAGAAGAGCTCAGGCGAGGAGGAAGAGGTGGACGGAGAACTTGAAATGGAGACCCCTTCTCCCCCAGGACATCTCCTAGGTGTAAATCGAAGGGCACTAACCATTGAGGTTCATTCAAACTCGAAACAAAGGGAAAACCTCTTCCATTCACGATGCAGCGTCAATGGAAAATTGCTTTCTCTTGTCATAGATGGGGGAAGCTGCATGAATGTAGTAAACTCTGACATTGTCAAGAAACTCGGGCTGAGCACGAGCAAACACCCTGCACCTTACACGTTGCATTGGACTAGCGATTACGGTGCTATCAAGGTCAATAAACATTCTAAGATCAAGTTTGCAATCAGACGATATGAAGACGAGATTCAGTTTGATGTAGCTCTGATGCAAGTTGCGCACCTGTTGCTAGGACTACCTTGGAAATTTGATCGAGGGGTTTGTCACAATGGTGGAACCAAGTGCTACAAATTTCGGCATAGAAACCAGAAGTTTGTACTTAAACCTCTGTAGCCGCTGAAGTTCGAGAGGATCAACGTCAATTAGAGACCAGTCGACGGCGGCAAAACGGGGAACCTAGTGGAACGAGAGCTGAGGAACATAACGAAGGCAATTTTTTAGCTTGCCGGTTCATGCTCACTGGTTACAAGAGGCAGAAGACTCCTCGGCCTCAACGGCTTTGTGACGGTTTGCCAGAGTAGAGCAAGAGAGAGGGTCAATTGGGTGGAGCTCTGGAGAGCAATACGAAGCCAACCAAAGGCACTGACACGTTCCATGATCCAAGGGGAAGCTTCCCCGAAGACTAGACGACTTCGATTGTGCATGGATTCCTGGATCCAATTCGACCCCGATTTGCTCTGAAAACAAGGAACTAAGAGCAAAAATTAGCTCTATTGGGTGGCTCGATTGGGAATGATTCGACACTAACGGTTGATGCGGAATCATCAAACATAGTTCCAGGAAGTTATAGGAATGATCCAATTAGAATGGCGATGCATGGATAAAAATTGTCCAATTTGGGATTGGGAATTCTGGGTTTGGGCATTTCAAAATCCGACAATGGCCGGAAACTGGGAAAAGGCGATTCGACGATTATGGTGAAGAGTCGAGAGGGAAGGTGGGGTCAGCAATGCAATTCGAAGTTCTCCAAAGCTCGTGCATGCAGTGAATTATCTTGGAAATGTGTCAAATCGAAACCCCCAAATCCTCCGACGATGAACACTAACCTAGTTTCCCAGAGACTCGAGTTCGGGAAGCCTTTTTCAGTTCCAGTTTGGAACCAATTTTGTGAGCGATTCGAGTAGAGGAAGGCCAAAGTGTTGAGGGCAACACTTTTTCAAGAGCGAGGGCCTGATATGATCTCATTTGGATCCATTTCGAGTTCTCGATTGATTGACAAAGGATTCCATTCATCTCATTTGAACAACCTTGAATTTTGCCCAAGTGTTGTGTGTTTCAGGTGCACTACTTTGTACTTGTGCAACTTTTTATTGGCTTGGTGGAAATTCGACTTCAAGGGCTTGTTTTGAAGGCGAAGGGTTTATCTCTCCACTGATATGCTTTGAAGTGCAAGAGGAAGTCCAAAAGATTGATTTGCAGGTCGATCAAGTTGCTAGCTCAACACGAGAAAAATTGCCAAAACTGTCAAAGTGTTGGAGCAAGTTTGGAAGGGCACTTTTGGAGTTTCAGTCAAGGAGATGGGATGAGAGTCAAAGCTCGGGGTTTAAAGACCACGAAGGTACAAGTTTTCTTCTATATCGACGTGGAATTGGATGAAGGAATTGAGCCCTGAAAGTGCTCGAACGGATCACCCAAAGATCATCTCGAGACAGCTGTTTCTGGCATGGGAGAAGACCAATCCAAATCCTAGTCGGATTAGGATTTGCACACTGTTTTGATTTTAATTCATTTTCGAGTTAGATCTTGTTTTCCTTTTTGAGTTGGATCGTGACTAGGACTTTCTTTACTTGGTTTGTAAGTTAGATAGTCTATTTAAACCTAAGATTGTTATGAAATAGTTTGTTTTTTTATCATTCAAATACAAAGTTGAGCTTTGATTCATCTAGCTAGTTTTCTTGAAGAATTGAATAGGATTTCTTGGTGGATTCTGAGCAATCGTGAGCTTGTATCGATCAGTTCATCACCATGATCGTGGCCAAGCATCGATCTATAGTTCTCGAGCCTCTTTCCCTTGTGAGAAGTTGCACAAAACTTGCCACCCCAAAACACCCAAACGAACCTTGTTCATGAGGAAGCTTGAGTTGAAATCAAATCAATTCGAAGGTGTGCTACTTTGAACATGCGACACCCTACCACAGCACATGAATCCCAGAAACAATTATCCTTTTCCCAACTAGATTAGCCAATACCTCTCCCTCTAAATACTACACAACATCAAGTAAAAAAAACTCCCATAGCCAATCTCTTCCCCATATTTCTATTAGAGTATAAATGAGGTTCCAAGCTAATCCGAGAGGGATACGAAATGTGATCTAGTGGTAGGATCTGGGCCCGTTATAAATTGCAGCGAAGATGGACTGGGCTTTTGTTTTTGGAAAGAAAACGAGCTTTTTCAAAATTTGCAGAAGCCCTTAAAGGAAAAGAAAAGCTTCCCGCCGTTCAATCAAAATCCTCGTTTCAAGAAAACCCCCAAAACCAAAAATGGAAAAGGAGCAAAATATTGAAGGAGTCGATCGACCGATGGTGCTGTTGTCTGTAAAAATTCTTGCCCTTCGTCGATAGATAAGAATTAGGGTTTCCATGATTATTGTATGATTCTGCATAGGATGCCTTCTTCTTCTTCTTCTTCTTCTTCTTCTTCTTATTCTTCTTCTTCTTCTTCTTCTTCTTCTTCCGAGGAGGAGGATCCAAAAGTATATGCTAAGCACTCAAGAAAGCAAACTACCTAGACTGCAGAAGAAGCTATGACGTACTACAAGGACACCCACCAGGTTGGTTGGTTTTAGTTAATTCCCAATTATGGATGGTTCCCTTGGATTGCGTTTGAATATCATGCTCGATCTGGGTTGGGACTAATTTGATGAAATTTTGGGATAGGGTCGATGGATGAATGATGAATCAAGGTGTGGAATACGTGTTTGTGGATCCCATTCGCAGCAAGGTTGTGATTGCCCAATGTAAGATTTTCTGCCACTCCTTGTTCACGGCCAAGAAGGTCGGCCCCTCCTCTGCCTCCTCCTCCATGGAGAGCAGCTCTGCCACTCCTCCTAAGATGGTTGCTGTCAATAATGATGATGACTCCTCCGCCACCGCAGTGGAAAGCAGCCCTCCAACTCCTGCTGCTGAGGAGTTGTTCTTGGCCAGGTGATGAAGCTCACTGTTCATTCTTGTGTCATCATTGATCCTTCTAGACCTGGTAACTATACATCTACTCTATGCTTAATTGGTTTGGTAGCTATGATGTTGGTTTGAGATGATGATGCCATATCTTTACTCTTAAACTAACTATCTAGTTGCATTTAGGCTAAGGGTATATATTAGCTTGCTGATAGGAAGATAGAATAGATGCTTAAAGATGAGGAGGATGATTATGTTTGTTGCGTGCATGCAATTCCTTCCAATGTAGGTTGCTTCTATTGTTCGAGGTGCACCAACGAACCTTTCTACCATCCACCTGAGGATCAGTTAGTGTTTGGTAAGCAAGATTGTGACAAAGGTCTCAAATACGACGAGGACGACTTGACTTCTTCCTCGGACGAGTAGCCTATTGTGCCCCGTTAGTTTCCTCCTAATTGCCGAATTAGAAAGATTTAGATTGTCGATTATATGCATTTATATATGGATCTTGTTTGTGTATGAGTTTATAACTTAAGCATAGTTGATAACCATTTCTATTATTAACCACAACACAATATCATAATAATTGATTAATAATAAGAATAATATCAAAACCTTTAAAGTACATTATTTCTACTCTACCGCTAGTCCGCTACTACTGGACAATAGATATCGGTGGTGGGCTAGATCATGGGTCAGTGTGATTCGACCCTTAATCATCTCATTAGAGGAAAATTGTATTGTACATATGATGTATCCTTCTGAAGAAGGGACTCAGGAAGTACCTACTTGGACCGGAAAAGAAGCTCTCTAATGCTATATGATGTCTCCTTCCAAGCTAATCCGATATTATTAAGGAATTGGAAAATGCTCGGGTCGGCTATGTAGTGATAGGATCTGGGCCCGTTGCAGCGAAGATGGACTGGGCTTTTTGTTTCAATATGTTTTGTTTTGTATTCGGAAAAGGAAAATGGGCTCTCAAAATTTCCGAAAGCCCTAAGAACTAGCTAGACCGGCATATATAACAAGAAGAATACGAATTCGGCCTCACCGCGAAGCTATAGCGTTAGAACCCCTAAATGCCTAAATCAGAAATGTTGAAGAAGCAAAAGATCGAAGGAGTTGATCCGGCGGTGGTGTCTGTTCAGGAGGCGGACTCGGACTCGGACTCGCCCTCCGATTTGGAACCGCGTTCCGGTGAAGAGTAAGTATATGCGTCAATGATCTTGGCTTCATACCTGCTTTGAAATATATAAGAACTAGGGTTTCCATGATCATTATGCCTAATTGAAGATTAATCGTCTCAATCTGTCGTCTGTTTTGATATGTCTCTGCACATGTGTCAAATTAAACAGACCGACAACGGCTGATGTATGGTCTAGGGCATAATCCGTGGTCGGTTCGATTATTATTCCATGTTTTATAGGCTTCAGTCAGCTAGCTAGCTAGCTAGCTAGCTAGCTTACAGATTTGTTGGTGCGTAAGTAATTTGGGTGGCGGGTGTTGGGCTGTTTCTTCCAATTCTGAGTGGGTTTTGCTTGATTAATTCCCTCTTTAATTTGTCAAGTTTGGTTTCTCTATTTGCTTTGATTTCATGATGGTGATGATGATTTACATATGCATTACGTAGGATGGATTATTCCTCCTCCTCCGAGGATCCAGAGGTGGTTGCACTGCGAGTGAAACAGCAAATTGCCTCGGTTGCGGAAGAAGCTCTGAAGCACTACAACTACAACCACCAGGTTGGTTTTAATTAATCCCTCTACTTATCTCATTAGCTAATGATTCTCATCACTTGCATTGAATTTCATGCATTGTTGACTAGTTTATTGGTTTTTTTGGCTCTGGATGGATGATCAGGGTGTAGAGTACGTGCTTGTGAATTTCATACTCATCAAGGATGTTCTTATTCCTTCTGGAATGTTCACCCACTCCATGTTCACTGCTACGAATCTCGTCTCGTCCTCCTCCTCCTCCATGGAAAGCAGCCCTCCCACTCCTAAGACGGTCGTCATCGATAATAACGATGGGTGCTCCTCCTCCTCCATGGAGAGGACTCCTCCTACTCCTAAGATGGTCATTGTCAATAATGATAGTGGCTCCTCGTCTTCTTCCTCTATCCCCATCGAAAGCACCCCTCCAACACCTCCTAATACTGAACTGTTCTTTGCTGAGACAGCCCTATACGAGGGCCAGGGGATGAAGCTCACTGTACATTCTTGCGTCATCATAGATCCTTCTGGACCTGGTAATTGTACATACCGAGTAGTTTCTGTGCTTAATTAATTGGTTTGCTAGCTGCTGTTGGTTTGAGATGATGCACTTTACATTTAACTATCTTGTTGCATTCAGCGCAGGGTGTATGTGAACTTGTAGATAGATAGATAGATAGATACATGCTTAAAGGTGATGATTTTGTTGCAAGTATGCAGTTCCTCCCAAAATTGGTTGCCACTATTGTTCGACGTTCACCAAGCAACCTTTCTACCATCCTCCCGAGGAGCAGTTGGAGTTTGGTAAGCGTAATTGTAAGAAAGGTCTCAACTGCCACGATGACATATTGACCTCCTCAGACGAAGAATATGACGTGCCCTGTTTGGTTCCTCCTCATCTTCGAAGTAGAAAAATTTAGAATTGTGATTGTGCATATTTGATATGTATCGCGTTGTTTTTGTTTATGCATCTATAACTTCAGCGTATTTGTTGTAGTAGTACTAATAACGGTTTATAACTTAAGCATAGTTGTAGTTGTAGTACTAGTTTAATTAATGCGGAGACAAGACATACGTGTGATGGTAGCCGCAAAGCAAGTCACTCTTTTGCGCCATATATGATACTTTTGAGCTTGTTATCAAAAGATAAAAGGCAGAAAAACCAGGGATGCAGTAGTCCCCTATATATTGTAGACATGGCATCTCTGTGTGTTGCTAGTTTTTTCTTTTATACTTTTTTGAGCATTTGATAATGGCATCTCTTCGTTCTGCTTCTTGCTGCTTTGTTTTCCTGTTTTATGTTGAGAGGTTGGAGTATATAGGGCCAGTAATTCAATGAACTGTTACAAGTTAATAAGGAAGTTTAACTGGGGATATGCTGACGGTCTGAACCAATGGGCCAAGCCGTCTACTCCAACGTGCATGCCGTTGAGTATTAGTATGGAAACTACAAGTATTTGCCCCCGTTGAGATATTTACTGAGAATTTCCCAGTGAAGAGATTTTAGTGGAATAAGCAAGGAAGCTCATAGCCTGTTTCTCGAACGATAAAACTGATTGTTGATTGCTTGATATGCCCAGTTAGGAACACCATAATCTGCTCGATAACAACTGAAATGGCTGCTACATGTTCGACCAAGTCCTCAACTAAATCTGGTAGATTTGACTGGCGGCGGCAATGAGCATTGGTGTGTGTTGAAAATTACTAATGTGACGGGGATTACTTTGTCCTTCTAATTTTCGATTATGTCTATTTCAAGTGTCATTTCATTCTAATTTGGTAGATGATTGAGGTTTGCTCCTGTCTGCAATCTGCGACGACTTGGAAGGATTATTGCGCTCGGTTATGTTTTCGGTTAGTCAGAGCCTTTGGGTGCTAAGCTCGCATTCGCTTGATTTCATGTATTTTACTTGAAGCAGCATGTAGAATGTACTCACACTTTTTACATTTTTGTAAGAGTGATTCTCTTCTGGCATAGCAAATTGGCGACTTTGGATCCCCTTTTGAGTTTTCAACTTCAGATTTGTGCAGCAGCAGGTTCAGGTATAATCAGTAGCAGCTTCTTAGATAGTAGGGTGGCATTTCGTTGCAGTGTGCTCTATACGCATCTCAAAGTTTCAATTATTACAAAAGCCAGACTCAGAAGTAAAGGAGTCATAGCCACCCTCACTAAGCGTATTTCAGCAATCAAAATGAGAAGGAAAGCATCCACCCGAGGGTCTGTTAACAGTTTAGTTGCCCTCTCGAGGACTGACTTCGAAACAACTGAGGCTCCATCACCAACCTGACTACCAAGAGGACAAAATGGTGGCTCTTCTGATGAGCAAACAACTGCAACAAGGCAAGCACTGAGTGCATGAAGATCCATCTGATGCAAGTACACACTTCCTTTTCAGGTTGATGCTTGTGTTGGCTGCTTGCTGATCGGAGGCACAGAACCAAACAAAAATATGAAATGCTGGAGAAGCACCACACACACAATTCACAGGAGCTTGCTACCAGGGATTGGAAGCTGAAGGAACTTTGTGATAAGTTATCTAACCTTCGGTAAATCTACAGAACTCAAGAAGACAAGATCATCCTTTAATTTGAAGCAGGGCCGGTAACTATTATTTCCAGGACTCTGACTGATAGTATCCACAAGCTGAAGCGCAGTTCCTAAGCCCTCAAGGAGAATCTGCAGCTGCTCGCCTCAGCTGCTCATTGACAGAAACCTCGGTTTCTATTATTACTATTATTATTATTATTATTAGGTTTATTATTATTATTAAGGTTAGTAGTCTACAAGTCGTATCAGATTAATTGTTAGGGTTTTCCAATTCTTTTCATATATATGTACGTTGCTATTCGTCTAGGAAATGAACAAGAAGAATAATAAGAAAATAATCTCCTAAACCCTATTCTCCCAATCCTCTCAATTCTAGATCTCAACCCTCTAAAGGCCTAGGCCGATTCTCTATCTTTCTCTTCTTAAATCCCTAATTATGTTCTTAATCTCTAAATCCCAATTCCCGATAGAATCTTAGAACTAGGTTCTATCATTTGGTATCAGAGCCAGCAAGAGTTCTTCAAAGTTCATCGATCCGGCATGGGCTCGCATAAGACAGAATATCGAATTCACATTGGCGGAGCTCAAATGCGAGGCACATGAACGTGGGTGGGCGGATGAGGCAGCGGCGGAAGACGACCCGACTGCGGGGGCGGGCGAGACGCCAGCCACGACGCGGCGGGAAGGCGCGGCGGCGCCGTCGACGTCGGAGGGCGCTGTCCATTGGTGCGCGGCGGAGGGAGAGTTGAGTTCGACGACGAACAACGGCATCCTTGACTAGCCGGTGAAGGGGGCGGTGACAAAGCTCACTGAGATCGTAAAGAAGCAGGCAACGGACGGCGACACGGCGTCAACGGTGAGCTTCGGGGGCGATGGTGCCTCTGAACCGCTGCTGCTATCGGGGCTGGCCGACGAGGCCGAGACGACCGATGGTGGGGAGGTCGAAGAAGAAGGAGGAGATCTTGTGGGTGCACCAGCATCATCGAGCTCTAAGATGACCACTCCGCTAGCAGGCACGCCCAAGGGAGACTACTTCGTGGTTGAGGAAGGGGAATACATGATGTCTTTGATTCAAGTCGCGCCCATATCGACTTTACCAACCGTGACGCTGACCGATGGTGACTACGAACTAGGACTCGTACTCAGCACAATCACCGATCCCGCGACCTCGCCTGTAGAATCAAATTTGATATTAATCATGTCGAGAATGGAGTTCCTCAAGGTTTAATCGGGAAGAATAGAGAGCAATCAGAGATGGCGCATGAGTGGGGAAGGGGGAATACGCCTGCAGCTGTGGATGGGTGTAACCTTGTACCTCAAAGTATATTGAGGAATGAAGCAAATTGGAAATTTCGGAAAAAGCAGGGTGGAGAGGTTCACGAGATTCAGAAGCTTCTGAAAGGAGGGAAGCTTGATTTGACGACTTTGACCGACGGGACAACGCAGACGAAGGCGAGAATAGAATCATGCCAGATTCCTAGTCGTTGGGAGAAAAGCTCGTCGCTAGAGGAGAAGAAGATGAAGGGCGACGGGGTTGTCCAGCCGGAGTCACGAAGCGATCGATTGAAGCATCTTCCGTTGGCCTCTTATTCCGAGGAGAAGACGGACAAGAAGGCTGACAGGACAAACAACGCAGCAGCTTCAATGGCGACGCCGACAGACGAGGAACTGAAGACGGTGGCCGCCGGATTGAGGTAGTCGGCCGCCCACCTGGTGGTCTGCTCGTCGTTGGGAAGAGAGACGATATACGGAGGCGATGAAATTCCTCATGTGTCATCGGAGATGGAGGAGAGCCCAGAGTCGAGCTGGAAGGACAAACGCTTGGTTGCTGCCAAAGGCTGGGGAAAATAAGGGGTCACCGGAGGCAGAGCCTGTGAGGAGAGAGGACGGCGGTAATTTGCTCCAGAGCAAGCAGCTGCCTCTTCTTTCCTTCCACGAAGCTCGACCAAGCTTCTCTCGTGGCCCAACGTTGCTGCCCGTGTGTGTTATGCGAGGGTTTGCTTATGGGCTAGATAAGTGGGGAAATGGCAGGTCACTATAGAGAGAGAAGTACGGGCCAGCGCAGATCAAGTCGAGTTGTGAGGAAGGCTGCGTTGGGCTTTCCTTGGGCCTGCCGACCCAACTGTGTAAGCTGAAGAATGATACTTCAGCTACTCGCGAAGAGAAGAGGAGCTCGAAGCTGTTTGCAGGTAGCGAATTTAATGAAAGCTCACCCATGTTGGCGGAAGAAAAAGATCAGACAGCTGCTGGGTCGCCCAACTCCCTTTCCTCATCAATGTTCGCAATAGTAAACAGAGAAGATCACCTTGCACAAAATTGGGTTTCCACACTTGGAAGCAAGGGCGGCAGAAGAATAGGTTTCCAAAATAAATTTAGGAGGAATAAGATACTAGGAGTGTTCCCCTGCAAAATCACAAGGAGAAAGGAGGAGTGGCAGGAAACTATTGGGGAGTTAGGCTCCATTTCTTTGGCACATGTTGGGAGAAGGTGGAAGGTGAATGATGATCATCCTGGAGATGGCAGCGTGTGGTGGATGAGCTGCATTGCCACCTATGTGAAGTCCATGTTCGTGGAAGTTGCTTGTGCTCCAAGACTCGTTGGAATTTGAAAATACAATTGGAAGAAAAGGAAGCACATATTGTACGAGAAAGGTGGTGAATCAAGTCGGTCAACCTTGAGGGCAAGGTTGGTCTCAAGGGAGATGAGAGGATAGAAACCTACGGTTTCTATTATTACTATTATTATTATTAGGTTTATTATTATTATTATTATTATTAAGGTTAGTAGTCTTCTAGTCGTATAAGGTTAATTGTTAGGGTTTTCCAGTTCTTTTCTTATATATGTACGTTGCTATTCGTCTAGGAAATGAATAAGAAGAATAATAAGAAAACAATCTCCTAAACCATATTCTCCCAATTCTCTCAATTCTAGATCTCAACCCATAAAACACTAGGCCGATTCTCTATCTTTCTCTTATCAAATCTCTAATTCTGTTCTTAATCCCTAAATTCCAATTCCCGATAGAATCTTAGAACTAGGTTCTATCACTCATCAACATCGATAAGCATGGCCAACCCATCTTCGATTGTGACTCTAGCTGCAAGCATGGGTTTCTCCTCGAGAGGCGCGTTGGAGATGTGTTCACTGTTGTTGGTGGAAACAGTGACTGCTTGGAGGAGAGGCCGGGGCCTGTGCCCAGTTTGGTATGAGAATCTTCCCGATAGTATATGCCTGGTGCTGATCAGAGCTTTTATTGTCACGTGATCCAGAAGGAATCTCTTTCAGGTGAGATTAGCAGAAGTGATATATCGACTTTGACCCTCCTGTAGTAGATTCTTGGAGAGACGAGCTTGATGGTATTAATCGTTGACATAATCTCCGTTATCCTGAGCAGCTGCATGCAGTAGAATGAGCCATGGATGGTTGAACTGAAGAGTGCAACCGATCTTCAGGTCACAACGACTGCGTAGACATGAGCCCATTCTGATGATGAGACAAATTGTTGTTGCAAGAGGCTCTGCAGAAGACTAGAATGTATACTAGCCAAATGGAAGTTGGGGGTTAGGAAAGAGGAGAGACATGTTAGGAGCAGAATATGAGAACTCCAACCCGCCTGAAGGAGAAGGAACGCTATGGTACTGTTGTAGAGGGCAGGCTAATCGATTCTGCCACCGGGCGGCTAAAGAAGTGAAATTTGATTTTGGAAAAAATATCCGGTTCACTTGAGAAATGCTGCTGCTAGTGTTGTAGATGATAGGAAGAAGTTCTGTGTAAATGTTTAGATTATGGGAAACGAATAGATGGCTGTGATGTCCACTACAAGACCTTAACATCTCTCGGGGATTCAATAGGAATTTTACAATTCTTTAAAGCATTGGTGTTTTAGTTTTTGTCTTTATAATACAACTTGAACTTGTACTTTTAATGTTATGGTATCTTTGGGTTGTACATATACTCTTTTGTAAAATCTCTTTACGGTACAAACAAAAGTTGTACATTTAAATTATGGTACAACTTGAAGAGTGAAATTGTACCACAACATAGGGGTGAAAGCTTGACCCGGAAGACCCACTGACCCGTCCCTACAATAGAGTTATTCTGCTTTCTCTATAAGTAGTTAGTATATACTAACACGGCCGGATTTAAGGCCACGTAGGCGAGCCGCGATCGGACGATCGATGAGGAAGAGAGCAGCTTGTGGCTCGTCTGAACCAAACCTCTTCCTACAATTAAAACAAAAATAGGTCCCACAATTCAAAAAATTCCACTTTTCTCTCTCCATCATTTAATTTTCCTTTCTCTCCCACTCTCTAAAACTGTCGACTACTTTTTCTCTCTTCTCTTCTTCTTTCTCTCTCTCTCTCTCCCAAATAATTCCAAATGCCTCTCGACAACGACGGGTGTGAGAAACACGACGCCGGCGACGATGGCTACGGGCAGGAAAAAGACGACAACGCAAGTAGAAGACGACGGTGCTTGGCAACGCCGTTAACGCTGTTTGAAGGAAGAAGAAATTGGCCGAGCAAGAAGGAAGACATCGACGCCGGTAGCGCGATGAAGACGACAACACCGGCTGCAAAGAGAAGAAAGTTTTTGAGGTAAGCATCTTCCTTTCTCCTGATTCATTGAGGGCACCAACGCGACAGTGAAGGTAGGTCTTTGAGGTAGGTGTTTTACTCTTCTCCATCCTTGATTCATGGATATGAATGTTGGATTATATAGATTTGATTTAGGATTTCATGGATCCGACTGGATCTGAGTTTTTTTTTTGCTTCGTTTTTTGGATCTGAGATTCATTGTTGGGGATCTGGGATTCTTGTAAGGGGAATTGAGATTCGCTTTATGTGCCTTGAGATTCGATTTGGGGGATCTGGGATTCGATTTGGGAGATTCGGGATTCTTTATATTTGATTTAGGGTTTCATGGATTCGACTAGGTCAGGTTTTTTTTTTCTTCATTTTTTGGATCTGAGAACTGAGATTCGTTGTTGGGGATCTGAGATTCTTGTCGGGGGATTTGAGATTCTCTTTCTGTGCCTTGAGATTCGATTTGGGGGATCTGGGATTTTCTATGGCTGGGATCTGGGATTCGATTTGGGAGATTCAGAATTCTTGTTATTTGATTTAGGATTTCATGGATTGAACTGGATCTTAGTTCTTTTTTTCTCTTCATTTTTTGGATTTGAGATTCATTGTTAGGGATTTGGGATTCTTGTCAGGGGATTTGAGATTCGCTTTCTATGCCTTGGGATTCGATTTGGGGGATTTGGGATTCTTTCGATTTGGGGGGTTATGAGTTTTACTCGTTAATATGTTAGTTTGTTGAGTTGGGATATTATTTAGCATGTTTGGGATAACAGTTCGTTGAATGTGGATATTGTTTAGGGGTTCTGAGTTTTGCTCGTTAATATAGTAGTTTGTTGACCTGTGATATTCTTTAGCATGCTTGGGATACCAGTTTGGTGAATGTGGATATTGTTTGGGGGGTTCTGAGTTCTACTCGTTAATAAGGTAGTTTGTCAATCGGGGATATTATCTAGCATGCCTGGGATACCATTTTGTTGAATGTGGATATTGTTTTGGGGGTTCTGAGTTTTGCTTGTTAATATGGTAGTTTGTTGACCTGAGATATTATTTAACATGTTTGGGATACCAGTTTGTTGAATGTCGATATTTAGCATGCCCATGATGCATGGATATTTGTATGCTAGGTCTGGATATTTGTATGCCCTATATGGATATTAGTCTGGACTGTGTATATGGCTAATGATTTCTTTTCATGTATTTCAGGAATTTTGCAAGATGACAAGATCCAAAAGCTGTTCGATTCCAGCTCCTCAATGAGAAGGGGAGGGGGAGGCACATCACTGGCTCAAAACTATTGCTTTCTCATTTCTTATGTGGTTGTGCTTTTTCGGATTTGAGATTCTGGGATTGCCAAGTTGTAATGGCATTGAATACTAGTTTTATCGCGGTTTGTCGATAAAACAACTCTTTTTCATTATGGATTTGAGTTTGTTATTGTGAAATATTATTATGTTAGGTTTGGATATTAGTTATGGAATGTATGGATATTAATCTGCGATGTCCGGATATTATGGTCTCATATTAGTTCTGTGAGGTCCAATGTTATTTAAGTGAGTCTGGATATAACACTAGTGGCGGAGGTAGCCCATTGGTGAGTGGGTCCCGGGACCCACCTTGGGCTTAGACATACTTCATAGCTCGAGGAACTTTCTTCACTGAAGGTCGATGCTTCATGCTTCCGTTGCCACTTATCAGCTCCGCTTCCAAGTTAATCCCTAATCACTTCTTCGTAATCAAAATTAAAATCCCCTGACCCCTGATATGTTGCCTGTGTGAGTTAATTCAAAAATCTGTTAGCTTGCTTCAATATTTGTTCTTAGTTAAAGAGAGAAGAATTGTCTGGATCTCAGAAAAACCAATGACTAGGGTCACACAAACATCACAATAGACATAAATGCTTAAGCAACTTAGTAATTAAAGTTGGACTAGAGTAACAAATTAAGATAAACCAAAATTGAACTTGCTATTTGCAGGGGCGGAGCTATATAGAGTTAGGGTGGGTCGGGGCCCACCCGGGATTAGTCTCGATCCCTAGGACCCTAAGGATATTCAGATAAAATTTGAATAAGTACAACTCGGCTGTACATTGTGTCATGTAATAGTTATGTAGTCTGTTGGTAGGTAAGCTTGATTTTTATTGAGAAGCACAGAGGTTCGATCTACAACTACCTCATATTTTGCTTAGCCACTCTTTTTTTGTTCTTTTATTACTTTAATCCAACTTCATATGAAAAAGTCAACCTCTATTTAATTTTCACTTGGTGATTTTTCTAATCAAAATTCTGATCATTCTCCTTTATAGAAACTATATGATTAAGGGATTAACAGAGATATGATTGTCAAAGGAATTAAAATGATGAGTTTCTTATTAATGATTTAGTTATTTATATTAAATAAAAAGACAACTACATTTTTTTAGTTTAGATGCTATTTTGAACAATTATCTCAAAGAACGTTGTGTACTTTTAAAATAATTATTTTATTTTTATTTATATTTAATTATTTTCGGCCCACCCAGTCACGAAATCCTGGCTCTGCCCGTGGCTATTTGGGAAATGAAGGTAGTTTAGAGGTTTGTATGATTAAAAATGGTTGTGTAAATTTTTTTTTAGTGTTTCCAATGGTGTATCAGCTTATGAAATTGACATTGTTGCTACTTGTACCTATTGCAAGTGCCAAAATGAATTTTTTTGCAATGAACTAGGTGAAAATTACACTTCGTAATTGGAAGGGCGATGAAAGCATGAATGGTTTTAGGTTGGTTATATTGAAAACTACATCATTGCTAGTTTGGATGATGAATATATTTTGGATAGTTTTCATAATACAAAAATCGTCGTGGATTTTTGTAAAGCATTATACGAGTTATGGCATCATCTTTTATACATTGGACCCACCTTAGCAAAATTCATGGCTACGCCACTGTATAACATAACCAAATATTCGATCGTCCTAAACTAATATCCGCATAGTTTAATAAAGATATGGATACTGGGTTGGTGAATAAAGGCTACTGAACACAGAATAATAGTTCATTTCCACAATGATACTAGTAAGTAGATAAATAAGGATACGACACCCCCACAACATGGATACAGTTTCATCGGTTTTATCTTCATCATCCGACTCTGAATTGGAAATAAAAAACAACTCAACAAGGACATCAAGGAACATTGCCACAAACCTTGTCATACACGTCCACATATACACCCTTCTAATATCCATTCATTGCAAAACAAATACAAAAACCGCCCAGTTTAATATCCGACCACAAGACGACCACCTAAACCTAAAAACTAAACCTTAACCCTAATCTCTAACACTAAAACCCTAATCACTACTCTGAATCTACTCGAACACCTAACCCTTTTTTTGTGAGCATAACACTAAAACCCTAACAATAGTATCGGATGGCTCCAAAATAGTATCCACACCATAATCCAACAGACTAGTATCCATCACACACGGAATAATGAACCCATTAGAATATTGGAATAGTTACCAAAAGTGCCCCATTAGAATATCCAAACGTCCCAGAAAAATATCCAAAAATATGAAGTAATGAACCCTAAACCCTAAATCTAAAACGAATATCCACACTAGCTAGACGTATCCACACCACCTAGTCTAATATCCCACTGTCTTAGAAAAATATCTTGTGATCCCAAAATTAAGATTATCCATATATAACAGACTAATATCCATCACACAAAGACTAATATCTTATTGCTGTACACTAATCTGAATAGTTACCAAAAGTGTTAGATGCTTAAATAAACAAAAGATCACATCGGAATAGTTACCAAAAGTGCCGCATTAGAATATCCAAACGTCCCAGAAAAATATCGGAAAACATGAACTAATGAACCTTAAACCCTAAAACTAAAACGAATATCCACACCACCCAGTCTAATATCTTTCTATCTCATAAGAATATCATGTGGTCCCAAAATGGATTTTCACTATGACAGACTAATATCCACCACATACTGACTAATATATGATAGTTGTAGACTAAGATTCCACAAGCTTTACATAACTACTTGGCATTCCCATAGGAGACAACACTATGAAAAGAAACTTCCAATTTACAGAGTCAAATGCTTTCATAAAATCTATCTTTAGTGCACACCTAGAAGAAATTCTGCTCCTATGATAATCCTTGACAAGTTATGTTGCCATTAGAATATTATCACTAATCAGCCTACCCTTCACAAAGGCAGACTGACTTCTTCCAATTAGCTTGGGTAACACCATTGACAGCCTACCTGAGAGAAACTTTGAAATACCAATTAGCTTGTTGTTCCGCTTCTTGAGTTCTAGTGGAAATATAAGAGTAGACAGTTCGTTTAAAACTCTTAAGCTTCCCCTTCAATTCCCTTAACTTCTTGTACAAGACATAATATGGTACCGCAGCTGCCTCTACCTGCCAAAATTCTCTCAAAATCCCAATGTACTGGGAATGCTGTCTCCAGAACAATAAAAATATAAAGGCTTCGGTAACGTAGAGAGACCCAAATTTGTTTGAACATAAAGACCACAATGAACAGAAACCCCTAGGGCAACAATCTACACCAAGCTTTGAGGAAAAACATCCAACCACTTCTCATTAACTAAAACTCTGTCAATTCTTCTAGCAATAGGATTATTAGACTGCTTGTTCCACCAAGTAAACCACGAGCCAATAGCCTTATGATATGTTAGCTGCATATCTAATATCCATTGCCTGAAATCAAGAATACTCTAACTAATTCCAGGATCATTGGAAGCTTCATTGCTATCTTTGATAGCATTAAAATCTCCTAAGAAAATCCCAACCTCTACAGTCACCCAAGTCCTTCTCAACTCATCATAAAGCACTGCCCTTCCACCTGTTGTATTAGGGCTATATATCGCTATAATCAAACAAGTTTCAGTACCTGTTATAACTCGAACAGTAATGAAATGCTCTCCCATATCAACTTCACTCATTTTCAAAAACGGTTTCCAAAAAAACCAAACCCTGCCAGATTGAGAGTACTTGTAATTATTTAAATTCTTCCAACTACTAAACTGCTAACTTAATACATCCTTTGCATTAATTTCCAACACCCGTGTTTCCAAAAGTACAAAAAACTCTATTTGTAATCTAGCTACTTGATTATTTAAGTATCTATGCTTCTCAAGGGCATTAATTCCCCTAAGATTCCAGCAGAGTATTCTCATTTACCTTTTTTTCTTGTTCCTCCCACCTTTCTTAGGAGAAACAGGAATAATCATAGCAACGCCCTTAGAATTTAATGGCACTATGAACTGCATAGCTGAGGCTGGGATACGCAGTTCACTGCTTTGCTCCTGACCAACAAAAACATTCTTTCCTTTCCTCACCAGCAACTGAAAGCCATCTGCATCAATCAGATCCTCTCTAGCTAGAGTTGAAGTGTTAGCTGCAATCTTCCCTCCCACTTCAGACCTACTTGCCACAACTTGAGGATCTGCTACCAACACCCCAGAACTACTTGCCACAGCTTGAGAATCTGCCACCACCCCAGAACCACAAGCATCAGTAGCAACATGATGACTATCAGATTCCACTACTTTCTCTTTACCCTTATCCTCAATTCCCTGAACCTCAATGCTATTCACAACTATGTGCTCATGTGAAGCTTTCCAAACTCCACACCTTCCCCCATCTTATGCCCAAATTCAGCACATTGCTCACATCTGACTGGAATATTGAAATAATGAACAAACAATACTATCCTCTCCCCATCTTCTGGACAAATCTGGATCTCAGATGGAAATAAAGAATCTGCAGCCATCTCAACACACAACTTCAGTGTACCCATATGAGCCGCGAGCTTAGTAGCTTGATCCATCCAAAGAGGCCCTCCTAAGACCCTCCACCGTCATATACTCCAGCAGAAACTCCTGAATACGCATCTAGATCGGTAGCTTAGTGGAATCCATCTTCACCGACTGAATCTCTAGAACCCACTTACGAACAAACAGAGGAATGTTCTCACTGTGCCAAGGGCCACTCTCGAACACCCAAGTACTCGTCGCCTCACTCTCAAATTGAAACAAGAACATGTTCATACCAAACTCAAAAACAAAACCCCTACCATCTCTGCCCCAGAATTGATGAGCCCAACGACGGATGATCGCAATCGGAGGCGCCATCGTGAGGAATTGCCCCACCAACGCGTTTCTCCACTTGACCGCCCCTTTGTCCCGAACCGCCATAGGGATGACCAGCTCTCCATCAACAAGTTCAGTAGCAACGAATCGAAGTCAATTACCATCGCCCACCCCAAAGAGCTAAGCCCAGTTAGCCGGCCACGGCACGACCATGGCCGCCGATCGTAAACTACCAGTCGCAAAACTATGATATCAATTGAAAGATATGATGCTTTTTGATGACTTGATATATACACATGTTTTTGTCCACCATTCTTATATCGTTTGAGTCTCATCTCTCATGTTTTAGGCCGATTTCACGCTAGGTTGTTCGTGTTTGTGATATTTCAGGTCCTAATGGGTGAAGAAAGGTTCGTGCACGTGTTCGGGGTCAATTGGACGAAGTTGGAACGATTGACAGGAAGTTGGGAAACCACACGGCCGTGTGACGTGGCCGTGTGGAATCCTTTTGCGCGGGTTAATCACACTGGTCGTGTAATGGACCCTTTGTGGTTGTGTGAAAATCACCGAGACCTTCACACTGGCAGGCCGAGATTTCACACGGTCGTGCAGTTCTGGTCGTGCAGCGTGC